TCTGTCATCTTTTGCCATTCCTCACCGATGATTTTTGTATGCTCAATCGCCGTTTTTGTGGGCAGTTCCTTGCGTAGCGACTCTCGGCGATCATTCATATAACGAACATAACCTAGTGAAAGAGAAATACTGTTAAATAACATGCTAATATATATGTAATTTCATAGTCATATGTGTTATCAAATGCAATTAGTAGTATTGATAAATGCAAACACAATTATGATGTCTACCAAATATATGTAGGTACATGCATATACTATATATATGTACTATTATTTGTTATTTGCTTGCTAAGCCAATCATTTCTCGTAAGTATAGTACCTAAGCTGCAAGATTTAATTACAACACAACAACACCCTGTTACATATGAATTTGATCACATACCTGTTAAGGGCATTTTTGGCGCACCGGCCACTTTAATTTTACGCCGTTTCAGAAGAAATTGCTCATCCTCAGCTTTAGCTGCGCCTACACTATTACGTTTACGGCTAACTTTTTGCGCAGTTGTTGGTGTATGCTGACCCACTGCATCTTCTCCATCCGATATTGATATAATGGGTATATCATGATCTATACGTTTACTTGAAGCGACAGTAACAGAGGATGTTAATTTAGCAGACGGCTGTTGTGTTTTCTCATCAACTTTTGAAAAACTTGCCGGTGCTGAAGACTTTGGTTGAATTTCTTCAATCTCGATATCCATATCTTTGACGTCAGTTGATCCAGTGGTTGCAGTTTTTGATGTATTTTCTTTTTTTTTATCCGTTGTTGAAGCAGCAGCTGCAGAACTGTTAGCAGCGCTACTACCAGTCACGTTGCTATTGCTAATGTCCTCCGCCGACGACGCTGCTACTGTTAACACTTCGTTCATCTGTTTTTTGCTACCCTCTGCTGCCGATTCAACAATTTCCATGCCTTCTTTATGTATGTAATTAAGTTTAAAGAATCCGCACTATCAATGACGTTTTCTACTTTATCTATGCTTTTTTTGTTGCACAATTTAACTTTTATTTAACAACTGTATGATTGCTAATTCCGAACCACACAGGTAACGAACATTCTTGCACAAATTTTGCTCAACATATGAAAAAGCCGCTGCTTTGGGTATGTTCAGTAGGGCGTACACCATACACCGCTGTCAAAATGTTTGACTGGGTGTTTTTAAATGAAATAAAGCAGAGTTGTTAAAAATTGCTTCAGCTGGACGATGCAGCGAACAAAAGTAGCGGCGCCAGACGCACCGTTGCCCATTTTGACAGTTCCCAACTAAAAGTAAACAACGCCTCAGAAACTTTAAATGCCCTGAAATTCACTAATACTTCCACAAAAATTTAGCATTTTATTTATTCAATTCCGGGGAATTTCAACCGCATTCAGTTTGAATTTCAAGTGACTGGTTGGTCGGAAGTGAATTCCAGAACCTGCCTGATTAATTCTTTTGGCACAAAGTGACAGTTCCCTTGGAGAGAAGTTGCATATTCTTATTGAAAAAATGTTTGCCAGCAAGAATTTGCAAGCACGAAAAACATGTGATGTGGTACATGGTTGCATTTTTGTCGAGGATAATTTGAAATTCGTTTAATTTAAAAATTTATAAACTTGAGCGATTTTCTAATGAAAAATGTAAGTAAACACTTTTTACTTAATTTAGTAATTCCCAAACATGACAAGTATTTAAATTTTTGTATGACTCCAATGTATTTACTCGGCTGAAAAAAACTGTATTCGTAATCGGAATGCAATCGCAAGCAGTAGATTTAGCAAACCTGACCGTACGACTAAGAAATTGAAACGTATGTTAACGAAAGTGACAGTAACAAGAAATATACATGCATGCAGATCAGGTTTTTTGTCCTTCTGAAAGAATTAAAAAAAAATCCATGAAAATGTATCAAGTTTGAAATGCAACCGTGGACACCAGCTTATTCTCTACCAGGCAGTTTCTCTACTTGAGCGAGATTTTTTCCTGCTGATATTTTGAGTGGTGAATAATTCTTGTTGCATTTTTGATGAACAAACCTAAAATAAGAAGTTTATATGGTATTTAAATAATTTGAAACATTTTGGCCAATAACTTTTGCGCTTACTAGATCTTTTATTTTTTATCTGCCCATTGCATATGCCCATATGTTCATGACTGCCCCATACCAAATTCATTCTACATTTGCCTCAATTCAGTTGTTCATATTTTAGTCTAGTTTTATATTACTATATTTTCTCATTTTGCAATAAGTAATTAACAAGTAGCATATTATATTTAAAACTTAAAATGTAATTCAGAATTCTTTTAAATTTAAATATAAATTTGTTTCACAAACAAAATTTAAAACTAAAATTGTGTCAAACGAAAAAGATAATAATTATGTTGTAAGTAGTTATACACACGTACTACATTAACGATTTATTCAAGGGTAAGTTCTGCCGTAATTGTAAATCAAAATTGTTTTAATCCATTCCAACCAATCATATTGTGCTCTGCCATTACAGATTGTAACAGATGAGTCGATATATGTATGCTTATCAAACCTGCCTAAGTCCATATGGTATTTTTGAAACATGCGAGTTTATAAAATAACTAAAGGTAAAGTGAAATAATGCTACTGTGGATTTCTATTCTTCTTTCTTTCCTCGTAACGCTTTTTATAAAATAGGTTTTTATATAACTTAAAACTATTCCTAATATCTCGGACGTATTCCTTGTTAGTGTAGCCTTCGCTTTTGATTGCTTCTGTTAAAAGAGATTCGCAAATAATTAAAATGTTTTACATCATATGACACAAGTATTACCAAATATGGCGCTATTCAGGAAAGTAAAGTCCTTGAAAGGGGCTTTGTTACTTACGCCGTCATAATTTAAAAGTTGGATTAATTTTCTGTCCACAAGACGATGAAAGTTTTTTTCTATACCCTCTGGAGAAACTATCGCTTTAATGCATTGGATCTGAAATAACATCGAAGTTATGCTTTCAATAGTGTATACTTCTTTTCATTCTTACATAACGTGTGGAATCGTTGCGGCACAATTCGTCTATGTCTTTCAATTCCTCCCATGACTTAATTGG